TTGCTGTGTGGCAATTAGCAAACCTCTATGTCTACACATACAGACACTTAGTGCACAGTAATTGGCTCTAATCATAAGTAAATCTGCTACTAGCAAATGCAAGTGATTGGCAGAGTGGGGCTAGGAGATCCTTCTCTCTCAGCACCAGCTCTGTGGTTGCAGGGCTGACACTGGGAAATTCTTCTGTCCCCATGCCAGCTCTGTGAGTGTAGAGCTGGTGCTAGGAGAGAAGGATCTCCCAGCCTAGGCCCACAATTGTGGAGTGGGGACTGGGAGCTCCCTGCTGCTGGGATAGGAAGACATTGTCCCTGCCTGTGCTATGGTGGCAGAGCCTGTCCCAGCAGCAGGAAGCTCCTGGGGCAGGGAGCAATGTTTCATTCCCCACCAGGACAGATATCTCTTGGCCCCTGGGCTAGCACCCAGGGGGAGCCTAGAGCTCCCCCTGGATACTGCAGGAGCCTGCTGCAGGGCCACAGGGAGTGGGATCTGTCTGCTGCTAGGAGCAGCAAATCTGCTCCTGCATCCCTGCACATGTAGACACGTGCCTGGGAGAGTTTACTCTTGAGTAGTTTTCTCGAGAGTATACTGCTCCCAGATTATTTGCACATGTAGATGTGCCCACTGTGGCTCAAATATGGGCCAATCGGCCAAATTAGAAACCAGACAAGAAAGAAGTAGCATCAATAACTTACAGGGGAATCACCTACAAGAATGTAAGTAAATCTCTGACTGATCAAGGCCACCTTTTGTAATAAAGTTTTACCGTTTACAAGTCTCAAAAAAATCCCATCTGCTGTTCCTGAAAGCTCAGTAGCATGTGTAACTGAGTGGTCTTTATCTTGTGCACATGGCAAAAAACTCCACAATTATTTGTCTCCAATATGACCCTTGCTAGAATTAGTTAGTCTTTGTAGCTGTAAGACGAGTGTAATGGACTGTAACATTATGGCAGGAACTACTATTCCCAGCAGGCTACTGGGAGAAAGGAAGGAATCAGAAGGGAGCCAGGACTGTGCACAAAGAAATGGCTCATTAGAGACAGAGAGAGAGAAAGGAGCAGCATCCAGTGAGATACATGCTGAGAGCCAGGAGCTGCAGCTGCAGCAGGGTTGACTCTACCAGCCACAGCAACAGGATTCAGACAGGGTGCCCAGGTACACAGTAATTGGGGGTTTTGTGACTGAAAAGCCCCCTGCTGTTAAGGGAGGGCTTAAAGTTTCTTCATTGTTTTGCAGCACATTGTTAATGTTCTCCATTTGTTATCTTTCCATTTGTCCCTGAAGGGTTTTATCAGTGAGTCATTGTTATTTTCTGTTATGTATATTTTAAGCATTTGTACCTTAATATTCTCTCACCCATGTTTTCCCCATTCTCCTTAGCCCATTGGACTGTGACCCTATCCTCCCAAAATCCCCCATATAAATTTGAGAACCCTCCTTTCGGCTCCTGTGCAGTTTCTGGGGGGTCAGTACCCAAGATGAATGTGATGTGCTCAATGTGGCAGGTTTGAGACCACCCAGAAGTTAAAGTTGAAGTACGTATACCTTCTTACATAGTGTAGTGTTGTGTGGGCAGGTCTTTAGAGACATTAGGACCAAATCCAGACGTTCAGGCACGTGCCATTTGTGGTGACACAAACCTTTTTGCAGTGCCAGAAACTGCATGCTTGGCAAGTTAAAATGTGTCCTGTGCTGCAAAATTTGCAGCGCTGGGCCAAAATTTGCTACTGGGAAATCCTGGTAGCCAAAAAAACTGCTGAAAAAAAAGTGGCACAGTGTACACAACAGGAGACTGCATCTTTAGACACAGAAGCTCAGTCCTCTTGGGAGACATGTATCTCTGCTCCTCTATTTCCAACTCAGCTCCTCCAGCATCCTGGAAGACCGGAGGAGCAGGGAAATGGCGGTTTGCCTGAAGTGGGACATTTTGCCCTGTACCAAAAACCACGTGCAGGGGTGTATGCAGCAGCAAAAAGTAGTGGCATAAATTTGTACCACTACTTTTTTTTGCTACTGCAAGCACATGCTCCTGCATGTGGGGACACACCCTAGGAGATGTATACTAATTTAACAAATTTTTTTATGCACTTATTCTATTCAGTCAGTAAATTTTTGTGGTATTTGATCAACTGTAATACCTGATTCATTCTGCCCCAAAATAAGCAATAATGAAAACACTACTTTATACATAGATAGTATGTTTTGTAAGCAAAACTCCAGCTAATTATTTGTTGCTGTTATTGACAATCAGTAAGTCCCTGTTATTGCAGTTCCACAGATACCTAACTTTAACCTTGTAAGTAGTTCCAATAGAGTGCTGCTAGTTTAACATTACTAATTCCAGTGGAGCCATTCATAGGTTTGCAGTGACTAGATGTAAACTATTAAAAATGGAGCTATCATATAATAATTGATTAAAAAAAAAAAAAAAAA